CTTAATGCATTTATGTAGAACGTGAATGCACTGAATTCAATGGCATAAAGCTCCTTTTGTTTAAACGTTTGAATTTTTTTTAAATACATTTTTTAGCGCTTTGTTTGTTTAAGAATTTTTCAAATGGTAGTTGAAGATATATATTGTTATGTTATAATATTAGATAACTATATCGCGAGAAAGCTTTTTAGTACCACTAATTTTTCCATTGATGGAAGAAGCGACGCTTAAAAGAATGGCCCGGATCTCATTGTCATTGAACTCTCTGAATTTTCGAATATTGACAATTTAGAAATAATGTGAGAAAGTATGTGCTGTCTAGCACCACCAGTTTCTTAATGAAATCCGTTCATTTCAAATAGGTCTTCAAATATGGTTATGATTAGACATCGAATGTTTAGGGAAATGCCTATTTTATTCTAGCGAACTTATTGAAATGCTGGTAATACTTATGTGCACGAATAATGACAAATAATGACATAACGAAATTTGATAACGATTATTTTTGATTTTTTAAGTGTAATTACTTTTTTGGCATAAATACTTTTTTATACAAGGGCGATTAAAATGAAAACCGTAATTATTATTTAAAATATTATTTATTGAACACACATGGTACAAAACTGGACCACTTTTCGACATAAACTGCCCCACGCCCAATGCACGTCTGCCAGCGTTTCCGTGCCTGAATTCCCGTAGACAAAATATTTTTGGGAGACGGCGCAACTACTCGTGCGGCGCGTGGCGTACCTCATCATCCTTTAGAACTTCTTGCCGCCCATCGCTTCTTTGGGTAGCCCAAAGATGTGGACATTGCTCGGGGCAAGATCGGGCGAGGTAGGTGGACGTGGGGCATTCAAATCTCAGATCTGTTATTTCGCAACAGTTGCACGTGCATTGTCGTGTTGTAGCAGAACACCAGCCGATAGCATTCCACGTCGTTTAGTTTTGATGGAATCGCCGTTACAATTCCGAGGTCAGTTCTCGGGGCACCCATCTTGCAGACCTTTTGAAATTGGAGCATATCATGCACAATGACACGTGCTGAACCATGACTATTAGGTACAGCTTTTGCAATGTCGTTTAATGTCTCTTGACGGTTGTCGTGATGGACAACCGTCGAGAGACATTAAACGACATTGCAAAAGCTTTACCTAATAGTCATGGCTGCAATAGTCTCTGGAATCACAACGCGATGTGCCTGGCCTGGGCGCAGAGCGTCGGCCACGGATGTCACACCATTGGCGAACTTCCGACACCATTCGTACACTTGCTGCTGTGACAAGCAGGCATCATCATACTGACTTCGTCGAAGAATGTGAATAAGTTTCACTCCTTCACTTCGCAAAACTGAACCACATAACGCTGTTTCTCTCTGATGCACGTTGCTAGTGGGGCAGCCATTTTTACTCTGTTCCTGCGTCGGAGTTGGTGTTTCTTCACAATGATGGCAACTAGGAGACAATTGGATCACTATTGCCAACATGTCTATCAACTTATAGGTCACTAGCGCCACATTTGTATTTTTTATTAAACCCTCTGCCACTGACACCGAAGAACTGAACCCGCAGACGCGGCACAGCGGCTACTGTGCAAGTACGAACATGTCTCAGCACCCTGCCACAAGCAGCCTCCTGTGACTTACGGTTTCGTCGTATTGCAAACCTTTCCTAGTGCCCTTTCTATATTGCAATGCAAACTATAATAAAAATAAAATGTCAAAGTGTTATAAATATGTGACTCTTATTTTACATAAACTGTACGTACTTGTTTTGTACATTTAAGTTAACAAAATAATATAAACCAAAATGACAAACAATTTTTGATTTTTTTGTGTATGTAATTTATGACAGTGCCTTTTCCCTCCTTATTCTTGACATTACAGTGTCTTTCAGTGCATTTCAGTGCCAGGCGCCTAAAATACGATTTTTAGTGCCTAAACTTCCGATGTCGTCATGATCAATTTTTCGAAAATGCGAGTAGCTTTTCCGTAATTTGGGGTCAAACAGACGATTTTGAAAAACCCGAAAACCCGAAAAACGACAGAAGAACTCACGTTCAATGGAAATGCAACCCTGCGTATAGTAAACACATGCGTGAGACAAAACTCGCTAACCCTAATATAATGAAACAAAATCAGGACGCAAAGGAAAATGGCGCTGCGAATTGTATGTGCATACAGAACAGTTTCCGCAGAAGCAGCATTGGTTCTAGGAGGACGTATGCCAATACACATTCTGGCCCAGGAAAGGAAGGCATTACATGAAGCAAACGAGGAAGGCACAACAAAAGAGGAGACCCGGGAACAATCCTTCAGAAAATGGCAGAACGAGTGGGACAACTCGCCCAAAGCTACATGGACACAACGTTTGATCAAACAGATCCAGCCCTGGGTGACACAAAAACATGGCCACCTAAACTATCATACAACAAATGCTAACACAACAAACAATTTGGAATACACACCCTTTAAATTCGCAAAACCCTAGATGACCTTTGCCGCTACTGTCAGGCCAAAGATATAGCAGAACACACTGCTTTTCGCTGCTGCAGATGAGAGAAAAACAGATTCGGCCTAAATCTACAACTGGGAGAGGATCAAACGGCAGAGAACATTATAACCAAAATGACAGAAAGCAACAGGAACTGGAGCAAAATAAGCAAGTATTTGTCTACTATTATAAGCACAAAAGAAATGGCGAAAGAGACCCACTACGTACACTCCTGAACCCCTTATCACTATGGTGGAGGGGGGCCGTATGGAGCCAAGCCAAAACAGAAGACATGAAATAAAAGATAACCCACTGCCTCCGACGTGATGCCAAACCGACGGTTCCGAAGCAGTAAGAAAGGCGTTTCAACATGTCCTCTTGTTCGGTTAGCAACTGCGCTGACTACGCCAAAAAAAGTAGTTATAGTAGTAATAGTACTAGTAGTAGTACTAGTGGTAGTAGTACTAGGGGTAGTAGTACTAATAGTAGTACTAGTGGTAGTAGTACTAGTAGTAGTAGTACTAGTGGTAGTAGTAGTAGTAGTAGTAGTAGTAGTAGTAGTAGTAGTAGTAGTAGTAGTAGTAGTAG